CAGAGTCATGAACAGTGAAGGGATAATTGCCGTCAGCACAAGACATGCTATCAGAACCCCACTGACAGCCTTTCTTAGAGGTCAGAACATCATAACAAAATGAAATCCTAGCTGTCAAAACAGCTACATTCAAATTCACAGCTACATTCAGATACATTGATAAGGCAAAAAAACAAACCAAAATCCAGCAGCTCTCAAAATTTAAAAATGTAGTAAATAAATTTCTCGTTCTGCATGGTTTCTCTGCCTCTTGTGGCAGTACATGAAAAGCTGCTTGAAAAATAAAGTTCAGGTTACTTTAAATGCTTTACTTGAGCTGGCGCTGAATTATTTGTGCAATTTAAAGTGCAGAGAACAGATAGAATTCACAATAGATAACAAAATAAAGCATGCGCCAGCATCATCAAATTCAATCAAATTAAATATTTTCCAGCATCATAGAATAAAAAAAACGAGTAGTGTAACCTGAGAGAGTGCATTGGGGGAACCTCAGAATGTGCAGTGTAAAACTAACTGTAAAACTTGATAAGAGTGAGCTCACTCAAATCCTACACCTTCAACACCATCTGTATGGCTTTTAAGCATGCAAACAGACCTTGAGATCATGGACTTTGAAGGAAAATCTTTTGTTAGTTAGTTACTTAGTTCCAAGGCATGGATAAGGCCCATCAGATATAGGTGCAAGCATGTGCCACATCTGGGATACCAAAAAGGACTTCTGCTCCCTCAATGGCTATTCCAGCTTGCTTGGGGAGACCATCCCTGGCTTTGCTGACCACAAAGATGCCGAGGACAAATGTAGTAATGGCTTCTTGGACAGCTGCAGCATCGTCGTCATCGAAAACCTGTGAAATACACCAGAGAGAATAAAACTTATTTATTGTACAGTATAGTAATGTGAAGGATGCATAACTCTTTGTTCCCTCTCCAAACAGAAGATCAGATTGTTGTGGTAGTTTTGAGTAGTATTGTACCTTAGCAAGGGTGTCTACAGGTATCACAGAGTTCAATTAAATGCCATTTAAGGCCATTTTAAGTCAATTTAAGACCTGTTGTTGGAGAAATCATCTTTCGCTCATTCAATAAAGCAATGCAGCTTTATATAAAAAGTATCATATATTTGGTTCTGTTAACTACATAATTCTATAAATGGTTATACATCAGTCATTACTTTCTTGTTCTTTCACTACAGCCTTTTTAATAATCATATAGCAAAGCAAAATCATATTCCAATAGATTCCAATCTTCAAAATTCCATAATCAAATCCAATTGTTATCAGCAGTTATCAGCAAACCCCAGGATATTCTTGTACATAGAGTACAAGTAGTCTCTAGATATCTGTGATGATTTTCCATGTTTCACTGCAGCAGTTTTAATAATTAGACGCTAAAATATTTATGAAGACCACAATGGAAATAAGTCCTGGACTTAGTGTTTTTTATCCTCGATGGAACTTTGTGTCCTTCATGTGTAAGGCATTTTAATACAATTAAATGAATCAAATCAAATCCCAATAATTTCTACATAGGCACATTATTAAAAATCTACTAAAAAATCTTGTCAAATTATCATCAGCAAACAGCTATTTTTGCACAAACTTGTCTCATATTCACAGGGCTTTGAATCAGGGTTATATTTTCTTTACCTGGTAGTCCTTGATTAACTTTCCAGTGTTTTCACCAATGTAGAGAGTGAGGCCTCTGATCACAACTTCTCTTCGGGACTCAATGTTGCTGTCCTACAAAAATATGAAATGAAAATTTTGAGAATAAATAATTATACTTTATGTTTATTATTGAAGTTGTACTGGGTGGCTGGGTGGTGCTGGTGTAATGGAGTGCAATATATTGAAAAGTGTTCATATTTTATAAAGTTTTTCTTTAATTTTGGCATGTGCCTGGGAATTAACAAGTGCCCCCAAAACACTCTTGAATCTTAAAAACAGGAAGATGTGCGACTTTCAAAATTGCAAAAGTAAACTAATAAAGCATTTTTAGCAAATGTTTTTTAAACATTAATTTAATAGCAAACTCTCTCCAGCTAGTAACACACACATGTTTCAAATACATTTACAATAAAGTTCTAATAAATCATGCTGTTCTAGATATGGATGAATTACACACATAAAATATATATAACCAACTTTTTGTCAAGCCCATGAGTGAACAGTGAATCTAATTTTTGCCCCACATTCGATACTACAATTAAGCAAGTGTTTGTATATACAAACCTTCATCTGTAGTTGTAGAGTCACCTGGTAAGGATACCTTCATCCAGTGTAGTTGTCTTTATTTCTGGCGATCCCGTTAGCGCTTCGAACCAAGCCTTAAACATAGCAGGAGTGTGGTTTTTCCTTATAGCCACATACTAATGTTAACTTCAAATTACACTAGAATCAACTATTTTCTATTTTTTGACGCTTGACGCGAGCAGCACGCGTCAATATACACAGACCGACTCGAGCGGGCGGAAGCCAGACACAGAAAAAGCAAAGAGAATCCAGTGAATTTTCGAAATAAAATACCCCATGCAAACTGCCGGTCTTTAAAACTGACAAAAGCGAAACTTATTAAATACGTACCATATTTACACATGTAGAAGCATGTTTAGAAGAACATACACCGGGAAAATGGCCAAATCTGAGCAAGTAAAGAAAGTCTGGCGGGCTAAATTTAAGCTAAATTTAAGGAGGAGATTCCTTCAGTGTTTAATTCAATGCCATGTCTGAATTTAACAGAGTCCTATAACGACTTTAGTCCCTCTGAAATTGATAATCTTGTCATTAGTGCTGCAGGCTCACTACGATCAACATTAGACTCTATCGCTCCTATAAAAAGGAAATTATTAAAACATAGGAGACTAGCACCGTGGTACAACCAACAAACCCGCCAGTTAAAACAAATAGCTAGGAAATCTGAAAGGAAATGGCGCTCTTCCAAATTATCAGAATATCGCTCAATTTGGCAAGATAATCTTAAAACTTATAGAAATGCCCTCCGTAATGCCAGAGGAGCCTATTACTCAGCATTAATAGAAGAAAATAAGAATAACCCTAGGTTCCTCTTCAGCACTGTAGCCAGGCTGACAGAGAGTCACAACTCTATTGAGCCACATATCCCCATAAACTTAAGTAGCAATGACTTCATGAGCTTCTTCTATAATAAAATGATTACTATTAGAGAGAAAATTAATCACCAACTGCCATCAACAGTTATCAGTGGCTCTCCAAGTTCAGGGACTTTTGCTAATGTAAAGTTAGATATATATTTAGACTGTTTTTCTGTTATCGATCTTCATCAGTTAACTTCAATCAATTCTTCATCGAAGCCACCAACATGTCTATTAGACCCGATCCCAACTAGGCTGCTTAATTGGCACTTCTTTACTGGATATGATTAATCTTTCTTTATTATCAGGATATGTATCACAGTCCTTTAAAGTAGCTGTAATTAAACCCCTTCTTAAAAAGCCCACTCTTGACCCAGGGGTTTTAGCCAACTATAGACCGATTTCTAGCCTCCCCTTCCTCTCTAAGATTCTGGAGAAAGTAGTCGCCAAAGAGTTGTGTGACTTTCTACATAACAATAGTTTATTTGAGGATTTTCAGTCAGGATTTAGAGTTCATCACAGCACAGAGACAGCTCTGGTTAAAGTTAATAATGACCTTCTGATTGCTTCTGACAATGGACTTGTATCTGTACTTGTATTATTAGATCTTAGTGCTGCATTTGACACCATTGACCATGATATTCTTTTACAGAGACTTGAGCATCAAATTGGCATTAAAGGAACCGCACTAAGCTGGTTTAAGTCATATTTATCAGATCGCTCGCAGTTTGTACATGTTAACGATGAATCTTCAATAAATACTAGAGTTAGTCATGGAGTTCCACAAGGTTCTGTACTTGGACCAATACTATTTACTTTATATATGCTCCCTTTAGGCAACATTATTAGGAATCATTCACTGTTATGCAGATGATACGCAGTTATATCTATCAATCAAGCCCGATGAAATTAATCAATTATCTAAATTACAAACATGTCCTAAGGACATAAAATCCTGGATGACCTGCAATTTTCTGATGTTAAACTCAGAAAAAAATGAAATTCTTGTTCTTGGCCCCAAAAACCTTAGAGACTCACTCTCTAAAGATATAGTTACTCTAGATGGCATTAACTTGGCCTCTAGCACCACTGTCAGGAATCTTGGAGTTATCTTTGATCAGGATTTGTCATTTAACTCCCACATAAAGCAAACCTCTAGGACTGCCTTCTTTATTACAAAAATTAGACACATACTATCACAGACAGATGCAGAAAAACTAATCCATGCATTTGTTACTTCAAGGCTGGATTACTGCAACTCTTTATTATCAGGTTGCCCCAATAAGTCCATTAAAACGCTCCAATTAATTCAGAACGCTGCAGCACGAGTACTGACAGGAACTAGAAAAAGATATCACATCTCTCCTGTAGTAGCTTCTCTGCATTGGCTCCCTGTAAAATGTTGAATAGAATTTAAAATCCTCCTCCTCACCTATAAAGCTCTTCATGGTCAGGCCGCTTCATATCTTAAAGAGCTCATAGTACCCTATTACCCCACTAGAACACTACGTTCTCTGAATGCTAGGCTACTTGTGGTTCCTATAGTCTCTAAAAGTAGAACAGGAGCCAGAGCCTTCAGTTACCAAGCTCCTCTCCTGTGGAACCAGCTTCCAGTTGTGGTTCGGGAGGCAGACACCCTCACCATATTTAAGAGTAGGCTTAAGACATTCCTCTTTGATAAAGCTTATAGTTAGGGCTGGATCAGGTGAGACCTGAACCATCCCTTAGTTATGCTGCTCTATATGCTCTATAGGCCTAGACTATCAGGGGATTTCCCATGGTGCACTGAGCTCCTCCCTTCCTCTCTCTTTCTGCACTCATTCATGTTCCATTAATGCATGTTACTGACTTCACTTCTTCCCCGGAGTTCATGTGCTTTCTCGTCTCGCAGGTTCTTATCGATCCTGGTGGAGCCTCCTGCCATGGTCCTGCTAGATTGCCATTGCCAATACTGTTGTTGCTGTGCACCTGTCTGTCTGTCTGTCTGTCTGTCTCTCTGTGTCTCTCTCTCTCTCTCTCACCCCAACTGGTCGAGACAGATGACCATCCACCTAGAGCTGAAAGGATCTGTCCTAGGTTTCTGCCTTTCAACAGGCAGTTTTTCCTTGCCCTTGTCGCCAAGTGCTTGCTCATGGTGGTACTGTTGGGTCTCTGTAATTAATGTTTTAAAGAGTTTGGTCTAGATCTGCTCTATTTGAAAAGTGTCCTGAGATAACTTCTGTTATGAATTGGTGCTATACAAATAAAATTGAATTGAATTGAAATTGAATTAAACGCTCGCTTCTGAAACGCTCCTGGTAGGTTTTGAAGTCGCGTGCAGGACGGACCAAATACGCGACGGTCACGCAACGGGCGGCGGAGGGGCCCGGTGGATTTTTGGTGCAAGTTAACGTCACACACGAGGCCTCGAGTAAAGCCACTTGCTAAAGTTCATCTTCAAATTAAACGAAAAGACTCCACAAAGTTATGAAAACTAGAAACTAGCGTCCCAACAGGCTGACACAGAAAAACCACATACAACATTCTGAAAACTGAAAAGACGGTAATATCTAATCTAACCAGCTACTTAGCAAAATGTATTCTTACTTTAAAGTTCAGTCGACTCAACCATAAGCTCGACCTCTGGAAATGTGGCACTCTGCGGTTTTCATGCAGGAGGTACCCAGAATGCAAGTGTCAGTTGGCGGGATTACGGAACAACGTAAATGAAACAAGTTTATTGTCTTTGAGTGTTTGTACTTGAGAAGATCGACTGGGATAACTAAATAACGATTGTAAATGAAAAAACACACAATATATTGTATTTTGAACAAATGCATAATCATTTCAAATGATACATTTTCATGTAAAGATACAAACAGATTAATTTCACAGATTTCATTAATGTTATATTTACAAATGCTCAGAATCACTTTTTTCAGTGCAGAGTTATAGAATTTTGGTTTTGAGCTCAGAGTTATAGACTTTTGGCTTTGGTCTCAGCATTCTTGAAATTTACCTTCGATATCAGAGTTATAGACTTTTGCCTTTGATCTCAGAATAATAGAAAAAACATTTGTTACAGCAGTTCAAGATCTTCTTGAATTTTACCTTTGATCTCAGAGTTATAGAATTTTGGCTTGCTTTGATCTCAGAGTTATAGAATTTTTGCTTTGATCTCAGAATTACAGAATTTTGGCTTTGATCTCAGACTTATAGAATTTTGCCTTTGATCTCAGAATTCTTGAATTTTGCATTTGATCTCAGAGTTATAGAATTTTGCCTTTGATCTCAGAGTCATAGAATTTTGCCTTTGATCTCAGAGTTATAGAATTTTGGCTTTTATCTCAGAATTGTTGAATTTCTCCTTTGATCTCAGAGTTATAGAAGTTTGGCTTTGTACTCAGAATTATAGAATTTTGGCTTTGATCTCAGAATTATAGAAAAAACATTTGTTACTGCAGTTCAAGATCTTCTTGAATTTTCCCTTCATCTCAGAGTTATAGAATTTTGCCTTTGATCTCAGAGTCATAGAATGTGGGCTTTTATCTCAGAGTTATAGAATTTCGGCTTTGATCTCAGAATTCTTGAATTTTGCCTTTGATCTCAGAGTTATGGAATCTTGCCTTTGATCTCAGAGTTATGGAATTTTGCCTTTGATCTCAGAGTTATTCTTGAATTTTCCCTATATCTCAGAGTCATAGAATTATGGCTTGCTTTGATCTCAGAGTTATAGAATTTTGGCTTTGATCTCAGACTTACAGAATTTTACCTTTGATCTCAGAATTATAGAATTTTGCCTTTGATCTCAGAATTATAGAATTTTGCCTTTGATCTCAGAGTCATAGAATTTTTGCTTTTACCTCAGAATTGTTGAATTTTGCCTTTGATCTCAGAATTATAGAATTTTGGCATTGATCTCAGAATTCTTGAATTTTTGCTTTAATCTCAGACTTACAGAATTTTACCTTTGATCTCAGAATCATAGAATTTTTGCTTTTATCACAGAATCATAGAATTTTGGCCTTGATCTCAGAATCATAGAAAAAACATTTGTTACAGCAGTTCAAGATCTTGTTGAATTTTGCCTTTGATCTCAGAGTCATAGAATTTTGGCTTTGATCTCACAGTTATAGAGTTTTGGCTTTTATCTCAGCATTCTCTAATTTTTCCTTTGATCTCAGAGTAATAGAATTTTGCCTTTGATCTCAGAATTCTTGAATTTTGCCTTTGATCTCAGAATTACAGAATCTTGGCTTTGATCTCAGAGTTATAGAATTTTGCCTTTGATCTCAGAATTATTGCATTTTCCCTTTATCTCATAATTACAGAATTTTGGGTTTGATCTCAGAGTTATAGAGTCTTGCCTTTGATCTCAGAATTATAGAATTTTGGCTTTGATTTCAGAGTTATAGAATTTTGGCTTTGATCTCAGAGTCATAGAATTTTTGCTTTGATCTCAGAGTCATAGAATTTTGGCTTTGATGTCAAAGGCAAAATTATAGAATTTTTCCTTTGATCTCAGAGTTATAACATTTTGGCTTTGATCTCAGAGTTACAGAAGTTTGGCTTTGATCTCAGAATTCTTGAATTTTGCCTTTGATCTCAGCATTCTTGACTTTTCCCTATATGTGACGCGTTCCATCAAAATGAGTCTGATGTCACAGCGGCCCGTTTGTGTAGAAACACGTTTTTACAAGAAAATACAATTTTGGGCTATTTTCAGTTTTTACATGTTCCTTATTAAATAAAGTCTCAGCTTTCATACCATGTCAAAATTAATGTAAAATACAATGGATAAATATAGCTAGCATAAATAAAACGAAACAGGTGTCAGAGTTCAAAACACCGGCTAGCGTGTTTGTGTCATCTACGTCATCTGTCAACTGTCAGTATAGATTGACACGGACACAGAGACAGATTGACAGCCTAGACAAAATTAATTTTCGCGACGACGAAATTGCTCGACTTTTAAATTCAATTCCTGTAAGACATGCTATGACAACTGGATCGACCTTATTAGGGACTTTTTCACCGCATCGGCAGCTGAGAGTGAGAGTGACAGCGGCGGCTCGACCTCCGGTATTTTGTGCTACCGACAACGGCCGGCTCCGATCGTGATGGCAAAGAAAGTGAGTGTGACGGAGGCCAGGAGAAAGATATTCCACTCGTGGCTGACCCGATGGTAGCATACAATGTCTGTGATTATAATTATGTAAAGCAGTAAAGCAGTCAAGTTTATTTATTTGAATATAAACTGTCTAAAAATGTCTTTCAATTCATTTGGAATATGGCGGAATGTTGAATGCTGTCTTTAGAGCGCTTTTTCTCAAAAACAAGGTTTGGTGACAGTCAACCTTTGGAAGGGCGTGTCTCATACAATTTTTGGAGTAGAAAAATAATTTTGGTATCACCATGAACCTGAGACTTTCCTCTTTACAGCCATGAAGAAAACTCAAAATGTGTTTCTGGGTCAAAGTGACTCAAAATGATGGAGTCATAGAATTCTGGCTTTGATCTCAGAGTTACAGAAGTTTGGCTTTGATCTCAGAATTCTTGAATTTTGCCTTTGATTTCAGAGTTATAGAATTTGGGTTTTTATCTCAGAATTCTTGAATTTTGCCTTTGATCTCAGAGTTATAGAATTTTGCCTTTGATCTCAGAATTATAGAAAAAAACATTTGTTACAGCAGTTCAAGATCTTCTTGAATTTTGCCTTTGATCTCAGAGTTATAGAATTTTGCCTTTGATCTCAGAATTATAGAAAAAAACATTTGTTACAGCAGTTCAAGATCTTCTTGAATTTTGCCTTTGATCTCAGAATTATAGAATTTTGCGTTTGATCTCAGAATAATAGAATTTTGGCTTTGATCTCAGAATTCTTGAATTTTGCCTTTGATCTCAGAGTTATAGAATTTTGGCTTTGATCTCAATGTCATAGAAAGAAAAATTTGTTACAGCAGTTCAAGATCTTGTTGAATTTTGCCTTTGATTTCAGAGTCATAGAATTTGGGCTTTGATCTCAGAATTCTTGAATTTTGGCTTTGATCTCAGAGTTATAGAATTTTGGCTTTGACCTCAGAGTTATAGAATTTTGCCTTTGATCTCAGAATTATGGAAAAACATTTGTTACTGCAATTCAAGATCTTGTTGAAATTTGCCTTTGATCTCAGAGTCATAGAATTTTGGCTTTGATCGCAGACTTATTGAATTTTGGCTTTGATCTCAGAATTATAGAATTTTGCCTTTGATGTCAGAATTATAGAAAAAACATTTGTTACTGCAGTTCAAGATCTTGTTGAATTTTGCCTTTGATCTCAGAGTCATAGAAATTTGGCTTTGATCTCAGAATTCTTTAATTTTCCCTTTATCTCAGAGTTATTGAATTTTGGCTTTGAGCTCAGAGTTAAACAATTTTGGCTTTGATCTCAGAGTTGCAGAAGTTTGGCTTTGATCTCAGAAACATAGAATTTTGGCTTTGAACTTAGAATCATAGAAAAAACATTTGTTACAGCAGTTCAAGATCATGTTGAAGTTTGGCTTTGATCTCAGAATTATAGAAGTTTGGCTTTGATCTCAGAATTCTTGAATTTTGCCTTTGATCTCAGAGTTATAGAATTTTGGCTTTGACCTCAGAGTTATAGAATTTTGCCTTTGATCTAAGAATAATAGAAAAAACATTTGTTACTGCATTTCAAGATCTTGTTGAAATTTGCCTTTGATCTCAGAGTCATAGAATTTTGGCTTTGATGTCAGAATTATAGAAAAAACATTTGTTACAACAGTTCAAGATCTTGTTGAAATTTGCCTTTGATCTCAGAGTCATAGAATTTTGGCTTTGATGGCAGAGTTATAGAAGTTTGCCTTTGATGTCAGAATTATAGAAAAAACATTTGTTACAACAGTTCAAGATCTTGTTGAATTTTGGCTTTGAGCTCAGAGTTGAACAATTTTGGCTTTGATCTCAGAGTTGCAGAAGTTTGGCTTTGATCTCAGAAACATAGAATTTTGGCTTTGAACTTAGAATCATAGA